ACAATTCTAACATTTTTGGCTCTATACACCACCACAATGGATTTGAAATGAAACAAACAAGATGTGCTTTAACTGCAGACTGTCAGCTTTAATTTGAGGGTATTTGCATCCAAATCAGGTGAACGGTGTAGGAATTACAACAGTTTGCATATGTGCCTCCCACTTGTTAAGGGACAAAAAGTAATGGGACAGAATAATAATCATAAATCAAACTTTCACTTTTTAATACTTGGTTGCAAATCCTTTGCAGTCAATTACAGCCTGAAGTCTGGAACGCATAGACATCACCAGACGCTGGGTTTCATCCCTGGTGATGCTCTGCCAGGCCTCTACTGCAACTGTCTTCAGTTCCTGCTTGTTCTTGGGGCATTTTCCCTTCAGTTTTGTCTTCAGCAAGTGAAATGCATGCTCAATCGGATTCAGGTCAGGTGATTGACTTGGCCATTGCATAACATTCCACTTCTTTCCCTTAACTCTTTGGTTGCTTTTGCAGTATGCTTTGGGTCATAGTCCATCTGCACTGTGAAGCGGCGTCCAATGAGTTCTGAAGCATTTGGCTGAATATGAGCAGATAATATTGCCCAAAACACTTCAGAATTCATCCTGCTACTTTTGTCAGCAGTCACATCATCAATAAATACAAGAGAACCAGTTCCATTGGCAGCCATACATGCCCACGCCATGACACTACCACCACTATGCTTCACTGATGAGGTGGTATGCTTAGGATCATGAGCAGTTCCTTTCCTTCTCCATACTCTTCTCTTCCCATCACTCTGGTACAAGTTGATCTTGGTCTCATCTGTCCATAGGATGTTGTTCCAGAACTGTGAAGGCTTTTTTAGATGTCGTTTGGCAAACTCTAATCTGGCCTTCCTGTTTTTGAGGCTCACCAATGGTTTACATCTTGTGGTGAACCCTCTGTATTCACTCTGGTGAAGTCTTCTCTTGATTGTTGACTTTGAAACACATACACCTACCTCCCGGAGAGTGTTGTTGATCTGGCCAACTGTTGTGAAGGGTGTTTTCTTCACCAGGGAAAGAATTCTTCGGTCATCCACCACAGTTGTTTTCCGTGGTCTTCCAGGTCTTTTGGTGTTGCTGAGCTCTCCGGTGCGTTCCTTCTTTTTAAGAATGTTCCAAACAGTTGTTTTGGCCACGCCTAATGTTTTTGCTATCTCTCTGATGGGTTTGTTTTGTTTTTTCAGCCTAATGATGGCTTGCTTCACTGATAGTGACAGCTCTTTGGATCTCATCTTGAGAGTTGACAGCAACAGATTCCAAATGCAAATAGCACACTTGAAATGAACTCTGGACCTTTTATCTGCTCATTGTAATTGGCATAATGAGGGAATAACACACACCTGGCCATGGAACAGCTGAGAAGCCAATTGTCCCATTACTTTTGGTCCTTTAACAAGCGGGAGGCACATATGCAAACTGTTGTAATTCCTACACCGTTCACCTGATTTGGATGTAAATACCCTCAAATTAAAGCTGACAGTCTGCAGTTAAAGCACATCTTGTTTGTTTCATTTCAAATCCATTGTGGTGGTGTATAGAGCCAAAAATGTTAGAATTGTGTCGATGTCCCAATATTTATGGACCTGACTGTACGTACTTCTATCTTGGGCATATCCACTTCAGCTCCAGCGATGTACCCATGTGTCGCTGGATTTTGAGCCATTGTACCAGGATGATTATTTAGAGCCAACAGTCACTTGCTTGCTATTACAAGCTGCAGGAGGGGAAATCCCCCCTCCCGCTGCCTTTCGCTGCTTCAACGGCAGCTCCTGTACAGCCAGAAGTCCCGATCAACCATCCGACGTTGGTGCTGGCTGGCCGCAGAGCTAGATCGGCTTTGTGTGGCTCAGTAATATAGTAAACCGGAAGTGATGACCTGACATCACTATCGGTTTAATCAGAACTAAACGGCACCATTTTGAAAAAATAAAAGCGTTCAATCACACCGATCTTGGTGTGATTGACCCCAAATCCCTCCATAAAGCATACCTATTACATGCGTATTGATGTCACAAGGGATGCTTACATTTCCTGAGATAGCAATAAAAAAATAAAAAATAAATAAAGTGATAGTGTAAAAATAAATACGTAATTTAAAAAAATTAAAGTGCCCCTGTCCTCCCATGCTTGCACACAAAGGTGAATGCACACAACCAAACAGCGATTGTTTCACTCATGTGAGATCATGAGCAGTAATTCTAGCACCAGACATCATGTGTAAATCAAAAGTAGTTACCTGTAAAGGCTTTTAAAGCGTCACCTCTGGATAATAGAAATTACGTTGTTTGTCACCGTTGCATGGGCAGGCGCAATTTTAAACTGGAACATGTTGGGTATCTATTTACTCAGTGTAACATCATCTTTTATATTTTACATAAAAATTGCAAAACCCAACAATCTATTCTCTAGGGCCTCTGCTTTAAAAAATATATAATTTTGAGGGTTCTAAGTAATTTTCCAGCACAAAATACTGATTGTTACTTGTAAACAAAAGGTGCCAGGAAAGGTTTGGTCTAGAAGTTGATATTATGGAAACAGTTCACAAGCAGAGGTTATATTCAATAAAACTGGATGTCAAAACAATATGTAGATCCAGAGGTAAAGGTAGCTGAAGTTATTCATATATTTCAACTTTTCTTTTAAACGTTGAACTTAGCCCTGTCCTTACTGCTACTGAGTTTCCCTATTGGTCCTTTAATGTGAAGGGAAGCCTCAGTGACCAGCACAGAGTTTTAAACTGATGTGTGAAGTGTCTTGGCGCTGCTCAGAAGCTGAGTTATCAATAAAAAGTCACCTCACTGGCATATGCAGGGAAAGAGTGTCCGCATCAAAGTCCAGTAACTTGCGATAGGAAGAGGAGAAAGGACAGGGCTCTGACTGCCAGTGAAATCCTTTGTATGATTGTATCAACAACACATACCTATCCTGCCAGGGTAACTGTTGCCAGTCAGATGCAGGTAAGGTTCCAATTAAAAACATACATATTTATTTATGATACCATAGTCCCTAATTTGTGGCTTTATTATGGAATATTTTCATTATGTAATTCAATAAACTTTGTATACATTTTAACCGTTATCATATTATTTTTTATGAGCACCCAAAAAGTCCCAAATTTACCTTCCTTGGCATAATTTGCCAATACTTCAATTGAGATGTGGTGCTAAGATAATGTTATCAACCACCCATGCCACCATTTAAAAATATACATATTTATTGACGATACCAAAATCCCTAACTCACAAAAGAAATGATGTGCATAATTTAAAAAAATTAAAATATATCTGTCAGGGCTCCCAGGTATGACCAGAGTGTGTGACTGATGCAGGGAAACGCAGACTTCAGATATGTGATAAACAATACAATTTATTAACACTAACCATACAAACATAAACGCAGTGCAATACTAAACATAATACAGTGCAAACAAACCAAACCACCCACAGATAATAGTACATACAAGCAAGCGTCGTCAGGCAGGCCGGGTCAATATCAATTGGGCAGGTAGGTACAGGGGGAGCAAGCAGAGAATGGTCGGGGTCACAGGCCAGATTCAGCAGGTAGCAAGCAGCGTAGTACAGAGGGTCAGGCAGAGGGATGGTCAGGGTCACAAGCCAGAGATCAAAACAGGTAACAAGCAGCGTAGTACAGAGGGTCAGGCAGAGGGACAGAACAGGATGCAGGACAGATACAGGGCCCAGGACAAACACAACACCAAGGCAGAGTCTGTGGGTCTGGCCATCCCTTAAATACCCCAGCATCATCAGTTCCAGTGTTTTTTTGGCCAGGTGTTTAGCTGGCTGAAAGGTTGAGTCTCTGATTGCTGGGAGCACCCGCTGGCCAGCCCTGGTACTGCAGATCAAAAAGGCAGGTGAGTCCCACCATTGCTGGCCAGTCCATTCCTAACAGTACCCCCCCCCCCCCCCCCCAAGGAGCGGCCTCAGGACGCTCCAAACAGTCCTAGCTGGGCAAAATGTTCCACCGCCCGGGTCTGGTAACTGGCGGGATATTAAAGACTGGCACACCGGGCAGGGACTCCGGGCAGCGGCACACCGGGCTGGACTCCGGGCAGAGGCACACCGGGCTGGACTCCGGGCAGAGGCACACCGGGCTGGACTCCGGGCAGAGGCACACCGAGCAGAGGCACACCGGGCAGAGGCACACCGGCAGAGGCACACCGGGCAGAGGCACATCGGGCAGGACTCCGGGCAGAGGCACATCGGCAGGACTCCGGGCAGAGGCACATCGGGCAGGACTCCGGGCAGAGGCACATCGGGCAGGACTCCGGGCAGAGGCACATCGGGCAGGACTCCGGGCAGAGGCACATCGGCAGGACTCCGGGCAGAGGCACATCGGATTACCAGGCGAAGCAGCAGGCAGCGGGCCACCAGGCGGAGCAGCAGGCACCGGGCCCCTGGGCGGGGCAGCAGGCACCGGCCCCCGGGGGGCAGCAGGCACCGGGCCCCCGGGCGGGGCAGCAGGCACCGGGCCCCCGGGCGGAGCGGCAGGCACCGGGCCCCCGGGCGGAGCGGCAGGCACCGGGCCCCCAGGCGGGGCGGCGGGCGCCGGGCCCCCAGGAGGGGCGACAGGCATCGGGCCCCCAGGCGGGGCGACAGGCATCGTGCCCCAGGCGGGGCGACAGGCATCGTGCCCCCAGGCGGAGCGGCGGGGGCGCCGGACCCCCAGGCGGAGCGACAGGTCTCGGGCCCTCAGGCAGAGCGGCGGGCGCCGGACCCCCAGATGGAGCGACAGGTCTCGGGCCCTCAGGCGGAGCGGCGGGCGCCGGACCCCCAGGAGGAGCGACAGGTCTCGGGCCCTCAGGCGGAGCGGAGCGAGGCGCGACAGGGGCCCTCAGGCGGAGCAGCAGTTGGGCGCCGGACCCCCCAGATGGAGCGACAGGTCTCGGGCCCTCAGGCGGAGCGGCGGGCGCCGGACCCCCAGGCGGAGCGACAGGTCTCGGGCCCTCAGGCGGAGCGGCGGGCGCCGGACCCCCAGGAGGAGCGACAGGTCTCGGGCCCTCAAGCGGAGCGGCGGGCGCCGGACCCCCAGGCGGAGCGACAGGTCTCGGACCCTCAGGCGGAGTGGCGGGCACCGGACCCCCAGGCGGAACACAGGTCTCAAGCCCCCAGGCGGGGCGGCGGGCACCGAGTCACCAGGCACAACCGTGGGCTCCGAGTCAACTGGGATGACCGCTGGCACTGGGTCAGACATTGGATCGTCTGGCTGGACAGCGGGCATCGGGTCACCAGGCATCAGGTCATTTGGCTCGACAGCGGGCACCGCGTCATCTGGCAAGGCAGTGGGCTCCGAGTCAACTGGTATGACCGCGGGCACTGGGTCAGACATTGGATCGTCTGGCTGGACAGCGGGCACTGGGTCACCAGGCATCAGGTCATTTGGCTCGACAGCGGGCACCGCGTCATCTGGCAAGGCAGTGGGCTCCGAGTCAACAGGCACGACAGTGAGCACCGGGTCATCAGGTACGGATTGTCTGGCTCGACAGCGGGCACTGGGTCACCACAGCATCAGGTCATTTGGCTCGACAGCGGGCACCGGATCAGGTACCGGATCATCTGGATCAACAGCGGGCATCGAGTCAACTGGCCTAATAGGATCGTCAGGCTGGATCAGTTCATCATGCTGGGTAGAGGCATCAGGCTGAATGCCGGCGTCCGGCTGAGTAGAGGCGTTCAGGCCGAGTAGAGGCTTCAGGCCGAGTAGAGGCATCAGGCCGAGTAGAGGCTTCAGGCCGAGTAGAGGCTTCAGGCCGAGTAGAGGCATCAGGACGAGTAGAGGCTTCAGGCCGAGTAGAGGGCTTCAGGCCGAGTAGAGGCATCAGGCCGAGTAGAGGCTTCAGGCCGAGTAGAGGCTTCAGGCCGAGTAGAGGCATCAGGCCGAGTAGAGGCTTTCAGGCTGAACCACGGAAGGCAGGCTCACGGTTTGGATACTGGCAGGATGGTATTGGTTGGAAAGAATTTTCGCTTTTTTCTGGTTTTAACTACTGGAGCACTGCAAGTAAACGCAGGTCTGCAAACGAATGGAGCAGCTGGAGACAGAGAAGAACTGGAGGATGGAACAGGAGAGGGAGCGGTTGCTACAGAGGGCTCTTTTACAGGGTTAAAGGCAGGATAGGTGCAGCGAGTGGAACAGGGTACTGACATGCGGTAGATAGCAGGGCAGGAGGAGCTGTTGGGAATGCAGGAATAGAGTTTTGAGGAAATAGATTAGAAGCAGGACTGGGTCTTTGTAAGCTGACTGAAGCTGGGTGCAACAAATCTGTCCATGTCTGCAGTATGGGTTGAACAAAGCTGAGCTTACACAAAGCCTGTCTGGTCAATGACTGTACTGCGTTTATACAATCTCTTAGTGTCTGTGATGAACATGTGGAATAACGCTCCAGAAAGTAACCCACATCATCCTCTAATAACCACACCAGGGACTCTACCTGGTCTGCACTAAATGGTGGCAAAAATTCATCCCTGCATTCGGGGGAACCAGATGAAACCAACTCAGCACAAACCTCAATCAAAGGCTGCACCTCAGAGAACTCTGTGCCCTGATCTACTAGAACATGAGCGAGCCGTATACATTCTAGCAGTTCATCCCGGGTATACTCCTTCAGAGTTTGATAAGCATACTCCCTGTCATCAAACACTAGCAGATATAAATATTCAACCTCATCAAGATCCTTCCTTCCCATCAACAAGCCAAGATGGCTTCCCTGTGCAGCCACTTCTGGTCAGGATTGGCCTTGGTGTATTGTCAGGGCTCCCATGGTATGACCAGAAGGTGTGTGACTGATGCAGGGAAACGCAGACTTCAGATATGTGATAAACAATACAATTTATTAACACTAACCATACAAACATAAACGCAGTGCAATACTAAACATAATACAGTGCAAACAAACCAAACCACCCACAGATAATAGTACATACAAGCAAGCGTCGTCAGGCAGGCCGGGTCAATATCAATTGGGCAGGTAGGTACAGGGGGAGCAAGCAGAGAATGGTCGGGGTCACAGGCCAGATTCAGCAGGTAGCAAGCAGCGTAGTACAGAGGGTCAGGCAGAGGGATGGTCAGGGTCACAAGCCAGAGATCAAAACAGGTAACAAGCAGCGTAGTACAGAGGGTCAGGCAGAGGGACAGAAACAGGATGCAGGACAGATACAGGGCCCAGGACAAACACAACACCAAGGCAGAGTCTGTGGGTCTGTGGCCACCCTTAAATACCCCAGCATCATCAGTTCCAGGTGTTAGCTGGCTGAAAGGTTGAGTCTACTGATTGCTGGGAGCACCCGCTGGCCAGCCCTGGTACTGCAGATCAAAAGGCAGGTGAGTCCCACCATTGCTGGCCAGTCCATTCTAACAATATCAGACGGCAATACAATAATAAGGAGAAAACGAATCATTTTTTTTTTAAATGCAGATAAAAACAGAGAGTAAAAACAATAGATTGCCCATAACACACTTGCCCATAAGATTTATATGTTTTTAAACATATATCTAATGTGTTTATAATTTCACTATTTCCCTTCTAACACAGTTCCCTCTCCAAAAAGATATACATTTATCTATAGCCAAGAACATAGTGCTAGCAAGATCTTTATTGTGGCATCATTGTATAGTGCTTGGACAGACTTGGACAATCCTCATCTAAGGTTTTGCAATATTGTTCCTTGAGATGCATGTTTAACATACATACTTTGCGGCCCACATACTGCAAGCACATGGGCATTGGATCATGTATACAACATTATTTGTAGAGCAAGTTACAAAGGCCTTAATATCATAGGTGTTATTAGTCTTCCTACTTTTATTTTTGTTGATGTGCCAAATGTTATGCTTCTGACAGGGATAAAATCCAGTCATGGATTCTAAAAACAATGGTTTCCTGGGAGGATCAATGTTGTTAGGAACCACCCTGTTTGTTATAAAGAAACCCCTCGGCATATTACTACAGGACAATTGGGTAACAAGGGTTCGAACTCTGGGTAATTCTAGGTAATAATGTTGTGTGGAGAAATTTGTTATTTGGGACCAACTAAACCTATCCGATTCATCCCCATCCCTTTTATCCTCTCTATAAATCTGATTTTCAGGTTCTGGGCTTGTATATAAATAGTCATCCTTATTAGTGCAATTTCTTCTGATTCTCTGAAATTGACTCTTGAGAACTGACTTTAACCAACAGGGGTGATGACAACTGCTAAGAGGATTGAATGCATTTCTGTCCATTTTTAAAAATATGTTGTAGTAATCATATTATCATCCACTATCTTGATATTCACATCCAAAAAAATTAACCTCCTCAAGGCTTGCCTCAAAATTCATTGTATATTTTTGTCATTCGGATTAAGATCCTCCACAAATTTTCCCAGGGACAGCATCCAAAGGTGGGTCTTAATGGGGGTACTGTGAGTAAATTAAAACATGCTACCTTCTGTGGGCAACCAGCAGTTTACTATCTTGTCAGTAGGCTTCAGTATTAGCATATTTTCTCCTCCATGCTGTGTGTCCAGGCCATGTACTAGTTTTGGCTGGTTGTATTCTCACTTATTACAGTGTTAAATGTAAATTATGCTTAGTGAACAAAAAGTCCTGTTGGATCTTTGTAACCTTTTCAAATGTATTATGTATTCTGCTATATTGTCAACATTGGCTAGTTCCTTGGCTCCTGATGTTTATTTGGCTTTCATTTGTGATATACTTATGTCTGAATACCACCTACTCTCTGTCTACAATCTATGCTCTTTCCTGTTTCTACTGCTTTCCAATCTACAAGTTGTACTAAAAAGCTGAAACTCAGACACTCTTTTGGCTCTTTGCCTGGGTGGGACATAGAGGTCTTCACAAACCCATGATGCACCTCTGCAGCAAATAGCCATAATCTGAAATAATCTACCTGGCATGATGGTGTGATAGGTGTTGGCATGTCCTTTGAAGACTTCTAATATGCTTCTACCCTTTAAAATGATTTTCTTAAATAAGCCACCATGGCGTCAATTCACTAAAGGGCACCGCATGCGATAATACGGTCATGTTATTTTTTTTTTAATTTGCATAAAGTACTGCATGTTGTAAAAAAATGTTCAATTCACAAAAAAAAAAACAATTATGCAGTGTTTAACAAAAACTGTTCACGTTTTGGTAAATATCCCAAAAGAACATGCGATATTCTGTTAAGGTCCATTTACAAATGAAAAAGGTAAAAGTAAAAAACGGTGCACTGAATACACCAGGGTTTTGTTGGTGGTTGTACAAGCAGTAACTCCTTTTTCTGTTGAAGTGGGAGGTTGAAGTCTGAGTGTTGAAGTCTGGTTGGAGAGACTCAGCCATGTTGGTGTCGAGTGTAATCTGCTGCAGTTAACCTCCTAAGAAGGCGGATTAGAAGGACAAGGGAGTTGTTGTCATGGCATCATTTTGCACTTTATTGGATGACTTCAAAGAGGCTGACAGCCCAAAAAAGTTCCATTTGATAAAGAATCCTATTCTTGCCCCTTTCATCCGATTGTGTTTTGTTTTTGGAGACCACCACCCAGCGGAATCAATGCAATACCTGACATAACACAAAATTGTTAGTGGTGCTCCATTTTCTTCGAAAAAGACTACTTTCAAATGGGCTGCTGGTTACTTTGTAGGAATGCAGCAGGCTTCTTTCTCTTCTTTATGGGAAGAGTTCTGCATGGCTTCCGTACCATTGCTGCTACCTTCATATATACAGTCATGGCCCGAAATTGTTGGCACCCTTGATATATTTTTTCCTGAAAATCAAGTATTTCACACAAAAAAGGTATTGCATTAACACATGTTTTGCTATACACATGTTTTTATTTCCCTTTGTATGTATTGGAACAAATATAAAACAGAGGCAGAAAAGCAAATATGACATAATGTCACACAAACCCCAAAAATGGGCTGGACAAAAGTATTGGCACCCTTAACTTAATATTTGGTTGCACACCCTTTGGAAAACATAACTGAAATCAGTCGCTTCCTATAACCATCAATAAGCTTCTGACACCTCTCACCCGGAATTTTGGACCACTCTTCCTTTGCAAAACAGCTCCAGGTCTCTCTTATTGGGAAGGACACCTTTCCCCAACAGCAATTTTAAGATCTCTCCACAGGTGTTCAATGGGATTTAGATCTGGGCTCATTGCTGGCCACTTCAGAACTCTCCAGCGCTTCTTTGCCATCCATTTCTGAGTGCTTTTTGACGTATGTTTGGGGTCATTGTCCTGCTGGAAGACCCAGGATCTTGGACGCAAACCCAGCTTTCTGACACTGGGCCCTACAGTGCGACCCAAAATCCTTTGGTAATCCTCAGATTTCATGATGCCTTGCACACAGTCAAGGCACCCAGTGCCAGAGGCAGCAAAACAACCCCCAAAACATCATTGAACCTCCACATTATTTACCGTAGGTACTGTGTTTTGTTCTTTGTAGGCCTCATTCCGTTTTCGGTAACAGTAGAATGATGTGCTTTACCGAAAAGCTCTATCTTGGTCTCATCTGTCCACAAGACGTTTTCCCAGAAGGCTTTTGGCTTACTCAAGTACATTTTGGCAATACTGTAGTCTTTGCTTTTTTTATGTCTCTGTGTCAGCAGTGGGGTCCTCCTGGGTCTCCTGCCATAGCGTTTCATTTCATTTAAATGTCGACGGATAGTTCGCGCTGACACTGATGCTCCCTGAGCCTGCAGGACAGCTTGAATGTCTTTGGAACATGTTTGGGGCTGCTTATCCACCATCCGGACTATTCTGCGTTGCAATCTTTCATCAATTTTCTCATCCCGTCCACGACCAGGGAGATTAG